GAGACGATTGCCGCAGACGTAGGTAAAATCCGATTCCTGCCTCCACAGACTTTAAACTTCTGCGGATCCGTGATTAGACTGGAGAGTACGATGCCAACAGGGATACAGTTTACTCCCAGCGCGCTGAGTGAGGCCCTTTGTGAATATTTCTAATCTTTCTGCTACGGGAAACGCACACCCCTTCCTTCCACCGTGTTTGGTAAAATACTGTGATCAATACTGTGATCAATACTATGTTCACATACTATGATGAAAGAACGAGCAACACACGCGCCAAGCACGTGATATTCAAAGAATTGCTTGACACTAAAACCGGACTCACTTATGCTCACGGGACATCACCGTGGACACCGGTCAGTGTTTGTCCAGCCGACTGCAGTGGGTTGGGTGCGGAACGTTCCGGAAGGTGGGCGCCACGTGACAAAATCGCTTACGCTGATGTTCACAAGGGAGTTCAGGGAGGGACAACCAAGTGTCGATTTCAGCCCAGGGACAGGGACGTTCATTGTCTAGCTTAAGTGCACATAACACAAAGAGCATTTTAAACACAGACATGTTAACTATTTGGGGAGCTTTCAGAGCCACTGTCTCGCTGACTCTCGAGAGGTAATGGATGGATCAATGTGAAAAAAATTGTTGATTGACATAATAAGTGGGAACAGGTTGCATTACTTAAGGAAGGACACCTATGGAGCTAACGGAGGAGATAAAAACAGGAGGGGGGAGGGGGGCTCTCCCACGGGCGCGCCCCTGCAGGTCAGAGCCCACACACAGGAGAGCACACCTGTGCCCCTCGGCTATCAAACTCAGTTATTCCTAATATAACATTCAATAGGCCGGGCGCAGTGTCCACACCTGTAATCCTAGCACTCTGGAGGCCAAGGAGGGAGGATCGCTTGAGCCCAGGAGTTTGAGACCAGCCTGAGCAAGAGCGAGACCCACCGTGTCTACTAAGAAATGAAAGAAATTAACCAAACAACTAAAAATAGAAAGAACAGCCCAGCATGGTGGCGCGTGCCTGTAGTCCCAGCTACTTGGGAGGCTGAGGCAGAGGATCGCTTGAGCCCAGGAGTTTGAGGTTGCTGTGAGCTAGGCTGACGCCACGGCACTGTAGCCCGGGCAAGAGAGTGAGACTCTGTCTCAAATAAATAAATAAACAAACAAACCTATAATAATAAAGGCCGTGACACTGAGCACACTGTGTTCTAACCCTGGAGGCTGATCTTGTCATCAATAAGCAATCAACAAGCGGACCAATTTCAAACAGAGGAGGAAGTAGAGTCTCTCGGACTTTAAGGCTCGCCCCCAAAGCCACCGGGGGACAGTGACCGAGCGCTGGACTGCAGGTCGAGCGGATGTCAGATCCCCAGCGGCCCCCACGTGCGGGTTCTGACGGGGTTTACCTTCCCCAGCGGTATTACTTATGGAGTGACGAGACGTCTAAGTGAACGGAGGACTACGTACATACATTTTTACCTACTCAGACAAAAATCGTTACCATCACTTAGTCATTCAACGCATAAGGGCGGGCACCTGAGCCTGCTGAGGACAGCGCCGTTGCCGTGCCGGGCAGCCGGGCGGCGGGGAGACAGAAGCCCCTGGGGCCGCCAGGTGGGGACAGCCACCCGGCTAGCGCGTCGGCCTTGCCCAGGGCGAGAGCCTCAGGGCCCCCGGGGGGTCCAGCCGCCCCCGCGCCCTCCCACGCCGGCACACTGGTCCGTAGCTCGCTCGGTGGCTGGAGTCGGAAGGGGCGGCTTGTGCGACTACCTGGGAAAACCGGGTGAGTGACTCCAGGTGCGGGCGGGCAGGTAATTTACAGGAGGGCCACTAATGCAGCGGCCCGAGGCGGTTCTCACCCTCCCGGTTTTTATTTGCCTTCATGGCGGATCTGTCCGGCTACATGCGATGCCTAGATAATGTTTCTTTTCCAACCCTGGGGGACAGAGAGCCTCGGTGCGGGGCAGACGCGTGGAAGTCACATTCCTGCAAAGCACCTGACAAGGTTTTGGGATCCGCGGGCTGTCGCGTCAGATCTGTCTTCTGAACAGAGAACACAAGACTACAGAGTCTGTTCATACGAACCTTTCTCTCAATATCTTCGTAAAGCCTTTCGTCTTCTTTGTCCTGTTATTAAAGACATAAATATAGTAATCAACTGATTTGCAAGGAGGATATTGCACAATAAATCCTTTCTCTCCCCCGTCTCTGCCTACCTTCTCCGTGAGGTCAAGCTCTTCCCCGCCACTCGGGTCCCTGCTCAGAGCCCTGCACCTCACCCCTGCCTCACCGCCCTGTTCCCCCCATTTCCGTTTCGTTTCCCACTCTAAATTCTGTTTTTATGCACATCTTGGTATCAATAATTATTTATTTATATAGAAGACAGCATGTTATGCCTGTATTCTCTGCTGCATTTTGATTTTTTTTTCCCCCCGCTTAGTATACACCCCGGAGCTGCCACCCACCCCTGCTGTTCTGACAACTGCATTGTTTTTCCCTCTATATGGGTGAAGCATAAAGCAACCGACCAATATGTTGGTGGGCATTGCATTTGTTTCTATTATTTGCTATTAATTAATATAGCTGCTGACAGTCCTAGCTATCCAAATGATGGTTAAGAAAAAAGTGTGCACATTGAATTTGAATAGAAAGAGAACAGCTGTAACATCTCCAAGGTTCTCCGTCAAATCAAGGTCGGCCACTCCTGTGTGACGAGTGAGGTGCTAGAGATGACTGTAAAATGAATTAAGCCCGGGCTCGTGCTTCAAGCTCGTATCGGAAGAGACAGGGAGGCACACAAACAGCCCTAACACAAGCTAACATGCGATTTGCATGGTGCAGGAAGCATGAACACAACACTGCCGGAGATCTGCGGAGGGAGAGAGAGTCCCTGTTGGAGAAGGACCCCAAGAGCCTTGGGGAGGGCGGCGGCGATCGATGGCAGGGAGCCCCGGGGGCGGGCGGCAGCTGGCGCGGCCGCACAGCCGGGGAGAGGCAGTGAGGTGCAGAGCGCGCTCTCGACAGAAGGAAAAAATCATCTCCCCGGAATTAAAGCCAATTCCCCTCTCCTTCTTCCTCTTCCTCACTCTCTTATTGAATACACAAAATTACCCATGAAATTTTTTACACAGCCTGTTCAAAGGTAGGGAAAACTGGCAAAAGGTTGAAAATAACTAAGAGTGAGAAAAACCCTCGGAGTCGCCCGGCAGCGCCCATTCCTGGGCGGAGGGCCTCTCTCACACCCCGGCAGGGCTGGCCGCAGACCACACCGGAATATTCCCAGCGGTGGGAATTGCACGCTGTCTCGGACAGCCCCGCGTACACGGTCTGCGGGCACATTTTGCGCGACCACCACCAGTGCCACCCCCCACATTGCTTTGGAAAGGGTCGAATCTTTGCGAAACCTTTACGCACTGCTTTGCAAACTTGGCGGGTAGCATAAATCAAGCAGCGCTGTTTGCACATGAAACATTTTACAGTCAGTGGGTGCAGACAAATCTAGCACTGGGAACTGGAGGAAATTCCGGCGTAAGCCTCACTGAGACAGTCCCCAAGCACCCAACGTGACGAAAACTGCATGCGGCAGACACGGCTGGAAACGGTACAGGCGACAAGCACAAGTTTCATCTTTGCTACCCCACAGGCAAGCTTTTCAAACTAGTTAGTGTTAATAACGTTCCACCTTCAAAGGTGTGAAATATTATTAAAGTGCCCGATATCGTCCGTGGTCGTGACTGTAAAAGTAACATATTTAAAGTATTCTGAGGATGAGGCAGTGTCCTAGGAATGCACAGCTCCATTTTTGGTTTTGCTTTTTATTTCTCCCACTTCTGTGTCATTGACACACATAAAGACAAAATAAAAGCACTTGTCCACAACTCCCGGGCTGGGGTGCGGCAGGTCTGGTCATGAACACCTGCGTTCACCCGTTCTCTCCGGCCTGGCACTGCTCCCAGTGCTTAAACCAGGCGTCCTCAAACTGCGGCCCGCGGGCCACGTGCGAGTATTTTGCCCATTTTTTTTTTTTTTACTTCAACGGCTCTCTTTGTATGTTTTAGGCCATAAGCTCCTCTGGTGTTTTTAAAGACCTGAATGAACTTCCTGGGGACCAAATCCCTTCCACAGCGGCCCCTTCTCCAGCCGGGCGGGGCGCCCTGCAGCCGCACGCCCCTCCCAGCCCGGGTCCTCTCTAGTCCCCTAAGCACGGAAGCCACGACGCTGCCGGGCAAGTGGGAGCAGAAGGAAAATGTTGGAAACACTCTCCTAGACAAAGAATGTATGAAGAAGACTCCAAAGGCAATCATAGCATCAACAAAAATAAATAAATGGGACCTGATCAAATGTAAAAGCTTCTGCACAGCCAAAGAAACTGTCAAGAGAGCAAACAGACAACCCACAGAATGGGAGAAAATTTTCGCAAGGTATACATCCAATAAGGGGCTGATAACTAGAATCTATTTAGAACTCAGGAAAATCAGCAAGGAAAAAATCAAACAACCCTATCAAAAAGTGGTCAAAGGACATGAACAGAAACTTCCCCAAAGAAAACAGAATAATGGCCAACAAACATATGAAAAAACGCTCAACATCTCTAATCATCAGGGAAATGCAAATCAAAACCACAATGAGATATCAATTATCTCCAGAGAGAATGGCCCTTATTAAAAAGTCCCAAAACAATAAATGCTGGCGTGGATGCGGAGAGAGAGGAACACTCCTACACTGCTGGTGGGACTGCAAACTAGTTCAGCCTCTGTGGAAAGCAATATGGAGATACCTTAAAGCGATACAAGTAGATCTACCATTGGATCCAGCAATCCCATTACAGGGCATCTACCCAAAAGAACAAAAGACACTCTATGAAAAAGACACCTGCACTCGATGTTTATAGCAGCACAATTCACCATTGCAAAGCTGTGGAAATAACCCAAGTGCCCATCAATACATGAGTGGATTGATAAAATGTGGTATATGTATACCATGCAGTACTATTCAGCTCTAAGAAACAACAGTGATCTAGCACCTCTTGTATTTTCCTGGATAGAGCTGGAACCTATTCTACTAAGTGAAGTATCCCAAGAACGGAAAAATAAGCACCACATGTACTCACCAGCAAATTGGTATTAACGGATCAGCACCTCAGTGGTCGTATAGGAATAACATTTATCGGGTGTCGGGCAGGTGGGGGGAGGGCATGGGTATATACATAAATAATGAGTGCGTTATGATGTGCACCAACTGGGGGATGGACACGCTTGAAGCTCTTACTTGGGGGGGGAGGGGGGCATGGGCAATGTATGTAAAGTTAATATTTATACCCCCATAATATGCTGTAAAAAACTTTTAAAAAAGAAGACAGTCCCTCGCAGGGCTGCTAGTGCCCGAGCCCATCGGCAGCTCCAGGCCTCAGCGCCAGAACAGACCCGGAGCGCACCTGCCGGGTGAACCACACAGCCTCCAGCCTGAGGCCAGACCTTCAGAAACAAGAAACTAACTTGGAAAATATGCAGATGAGTCACATCACCTCACAGAGTGGCACAGATACGCGCTCCCGGCGTGGACGGGCGTCTACGGTGCCTGCGTGGGCAGGAGGGCAGCAGAGCTGCACGCCCGTGAGCATCCTGGCTTGTGCTGCCACCTGCGGACACGACACAGACGCAGCCACGGACGTAGCCACGGACGAGCCACGGGCACATCTGCTGCCTCCATCCACCTCCCTGACCTCCTCCACCAAACATACATCCTGAAACTTGCTGGCAGAAAGGTTTTCAAGTGTGAGAGCGGAAGCACCGTGCACAGTGATTGGGACACGCACAGGAGCCACCACGACCACCCACGTGATTTCTCTCGCACACAAGAAACCTGTCGTAAGCCCCGTGTTTCCCGCCTGGGAGGCACGCGCTGTGCTTTGCCGCTGCGCGCTCGGGCGCGGCGGGATGTGGGAGCCCTCCACCCCCGACCGCAAGCCCCTCGGTGTGCCAGGAGTCTCGGACCCGAGCCGTAAACGCAAAACGAAACCGACTCACCTTGCTGCCCTCAAAGCCAGGAGAGCTGGCCCGTATTTCTTCATCTTCTTTCACCATCTCGGCTGGTGTCTGGGGAGAAAGCACACCGTGTTTTACGTTTAGCCATGGTCAACCTGTGTCAGAGACTGCTTTCAAATACCAGGGGGCGCATCAAATGGTGCAGCTTCCTGCACCGCTTCTACAGGGGGCCGGAAAGTCACCCCACACCAAATGATAAACACATTGTTCCTGTGATTGCTGCGTACACCCCATAAGATGGCTGGTTAGTCAGTGACGGGTAAGACCCCTCAAGGGAGGGGCGACCTAAGCCAGGCACAGCCGCCGGGGGTCAGCTGAAGATCTTAGGGGGTCACCCTAAGAGAAGCTGGGGATGAGAAATGGCCCCTGTGGCTCACCTTGCCCATCCTTGCTAATCTCGGTCCGTGACCTATGCCTAGTGCCTAGAGCAACCACCTGGAAACCTTGAGCCAGGGGATATCTGCTTCCCTAAGGCTATTCCGGAATTTATGGCCATTGCTGCAATGCCTGGGCGGTTACATACAAGGAACTAACTTTAATCTTTTAGAGTATAAAAATAAAACGGACCCGGTGTATTATTACTCGAGTCAACCCTTTGTACGTGGTGTGTTTGTGTTTTATGTTCTATGTTCATCCTCTGTCCTGTAAACGGGCCAT